GAGGAGCAGCCAGTGCAAGGCTCGTGTTAGGAGTGCAGGGCCGAGGCTGGGGCTGGCACGGGAGGCTGCCGTGAAGGCTATCGGGTTAGGGGCTCAGGTCATGGGGCTTGCCTCGGGGAGTGAGGATGGAGCTGGAGCTGCACGCCGTCTTGGTCTGCATACTGGATGCTCTGCCTGGTATTTCCAGCAGCTTCGTGAGTGTCCTTGGCTGTCTCCCAGTGGTGACTGCAAATGCTCAGACTCCCTGGGCTGAGGGCCCTGCTTCTTCCTGCATGTGGGGCAGGCTGTCCACCCACCCCCATGCCCCGCACCCCCCAGGAACAGCCCGCACCGCACAACTGCTGAGCTTGGCTAATTACCCCCTCACCTCCTGGCTCCACTAATCCTACCTCAGGGCTGGTGGTGGGACCTGCACTGGCTCCCCAAGCGCCCCAGCCAGCTGGACCCAGCTGCCCACAGGAACAATCTGCCTGCTCCTGCCCCCATGTGGGCAGCTCTCCTGGTCTCGCTTCCTTTCTGCCTCCAGCCCCCACACCCTGCTCTGCAGCTGCCTCAGAGAGGAACCAGTCCCAGAGGCAGCATCAGCCCTTCTAATCCTCAAAACAACCCTGGAAAGGGGGTGCTCTTATCTCTTCCATTCACAAAGAAGAAAACCAAGCCGAAGCACAGAGAGTTAAATTGTTTGTACTAGGACACACAGCAAGCACGGAGCCTGGGGACTGAGTCCACCAGTCTGGTGCCAGGGCTGAGCACCCACTCCCTGCTCTGGGGCATAGTTCACCTCTAGGTCCAGCTCCGGTTTAAAGGACCAACATCCTCCCCTGGGGTCCCTCAGCAGACCTGCTGAATGAGAAACTTGGGGCTCTCCTCCCAGGAGGTTCCAGTGGTGTAGACAAGAACCCCCAGTGTAGACAAGTGGTGCAGACATGACCCGAGTCACATGTAAAATGTTCCCCTGGCTTCCATGCAGAGGGGGCATGGGAGGCAGCAGTGGGGGTCATCCCAGGGAGGAAGGGCTGTAGGGAAGAGATGGGTGTCTTGGGGTTGAAAAGACTTGTCAGGTTCAGGCTGCATTTGGGGGCTGAGCTGACAGACATGGAGATGGATGAGATGTTGGGGACGCAAAGAAGACGAAGACATCCCTGAGATTGGTGGTTTCAACCAGCGAGGGAGTGCAGGTGCCAGAGAGGAGAAGGCTGGGGTTCCCTGGTGGGCATCGTGGGGATGGAGTCCGTGTTAATGGAAAGGGGCTGGCAAGCATTCAGGGGAGCAGTTTCTGGGTCTGCCCCTCCACACACACCTTGCACCTTCCTGCAGCAGGTCTGGCTCTGAGGACCCGGCGACCTGGAGGACACAGTGAGATGGAGCAACCTCAGGGGGTGCTGGGAGCTGCTCAACAGAGTGGTACATGGAGTTCTCCCCAAAGCCAGCCCCAGGGCCTGCTGCAGGGCAGAGATGCTGTGCTGGGAGGCCCCCCAGAGAACAGCAGTTCCCAGCAGGGGGGTCACGTGGGGGCAGGGGTCTTGCACCAAACACACTTAGTGCTGGGGGGCGGGGGCAGGATTCAGCAGCTGTGGCCCTCGAAGCCTTCAAACAATGGTTTGTCCCAAACATGGGACCCTCCAAGGACGGGAGGGAGCCGTGGGGCTCAGAGGATGTCAGTGGGTTGCCCAGAGCGTCCAGGTCAGAGCACAGAGTTCTCTCAGCACCAGCAACTGATTTTTTAGACATGTTTAAAGTAATTTCATTGCTTGATTGCAGCCGGCATGTGGGCGCTCAGGCCAGTCTCCCTTGCAGCCAGGGTGTTCCTGCAGGGCGGGGTGGTGGGGAGGAAGGGGCGCGCGCAGGGCTTGGGGGTTCAGTGGGGACCTGTGAGAACAGACGGGGTTTGAAGGGGAGAGGGCAGATCGGGCAGGCGGGCTGAAGCAGGCCAAGGAGTGTGGGCGGGAAGGACCTCAGCTCGAGGGCCCCGGGGACGCCGGGCAGCTGGACAGGGACGTGGCTACTCCCCGGAAAGGCAGGGACAGCAGGAAAACTGACATTTGTCTCTGGAGCTTCGGTTTTATTTAATCGGATCCAGCAGACAATGGAGGCCCACCGTGAGCGGGTGCTTTGGGTGCAGGAAGACACAGCCAGGGCCTGTCAGGAGCCGTGACCTGGCCTCGCAGAGCCCACACTCTGGTGTGTCGCGTGAGGTCATGGCTTCCCGGAGGGTCCCATCGAGCCTGGACCCCAGTTCCCGGCTCAGGGTTCCTCTGCCTGTCTGAGCAGAGGCTTTGTGGGAGCCAGGGGCTCCCTATGTCCTCCTGGGCACAGGGGAGTAAACTGCCCATCCTGTGGATTCTTCTGGAAGGAAGAGAGACACAGTATTGCTGCCAATGGCGTTTTCGCCATAAGTCTCCCACCTCTGTCCAATCCAGGGGTGCGAGTAGGGACTGAACCTTGGGCAGAGGTCAGACGCCTCAGCAGCCCCCCGCGGGTGTCCCTATGCGCCTGTCCTGTGTTCGCAGGGCAGGTGCTTTGAACGCTCTGCATCAGGCGTGCAGGAGGCAGCTGTTACAGCGTCACCTCCTTTTGTGGGCTGAACAAGTCCACTCGGACCCCAACTTTCTCAGCCGAACCAAAGTTCTCTGGAGCGTGGCCGCACCACCTCAGGAGGCCCTGTCGGGGGCGCCTGCTCGCCGCCAGCGTGTCTTTGGGACGCGCCCAGACAAGGTAGTTTGCCCTGGGATTGCATCGCAAACGCTCCCTGAGAGGAGCTCGGATAAATGAGAATTTATTTATTCTTATTTGTTTATTTAGTCAACTTTTCCGTGAACACTTCAGCACGTGGACACAAAACCATGGACCCTCATAATTAGGACGCAAGGGGTCGCTGAAGAATCCTCGGCACGTCCCGGGAGCTGCGAGCTGTGCTTGGCCCCATGAAGTCATTCACCCCCCACAATCAAACTGCCGCCTTAGGGGGCGCTCCAGCCGGGAGGTGCCCATCCTGCTTGGTTTCTCCCAGGGGTGGGGAGCTCCCTTCTCTCTCTGTCCGGCTGCAGCTCTGCCCGACTGGGTCAGCAGCTCAGAGCCCTCCAGGGCTTTGCATCCACCTCCCAGAAAAGACCCTCAGGAGCCCCCTTCAGGGACCTGGATGCTCTCCTCACCGCCCGCTGCCCTGCGTCCGTGCTCAGTCCTGGCTTACCCGACCTAGTGCCTTTAACAGCCCCCGTCTTCCAAGGCTTTGGGGGCTTAACCCAAAGTGAGGTCTCTCGGCATTAAGCAGGGGTAAGAGGAGCGAGAAGGGAGGGGGCGTCTGCTCCGGTGGGCTTGGGCCTCGGGCTGGTGTGTCCGGGGAGACGGGGAGAAGCGACCCAGCCGCCTGCATGTGACCCCCGTGTGCGGGATGCGCCCAGGCCCTTCCAGGACTCACCTACCTGCTGTTCCCAGCAGCCCAGACGTGTGACCCAGCCTCCCGGGCCCGCATCTGACTCAGGCCTGTAGCGGCATCCAACGGACTCCTGGGTGTGAGAGGCTCAGAATGAGCCAGGTGCCCGGCAGGCTCGGGGGGCGGGGGGTGGGCTGGGCAGGCTACTAGCCCCGTTTGCTTACAGATGGGGGAGACGGGGCTAGAGGATAAGGGAGCACACTGGGGTTTATGACGGGGCCTCCCAACCCCTGGCCTGCACCCTGGAGGTTAACTTAGAGCTTCAGGGGCCTCAGGGCCGTGGCCCTTCCCGAGCGCCCTCTATCGGGAGGGGTTCCCCTGTCCCGATGCACAGTCACTCTGGCCAGGCGTCCCGACCCTGCCTGGGGTCACCGGGGCAGGATCTGCGCTCCGGTCTCGGACAGAGAGCCCGGCCCACGCTGTCACTACTGCCCCCTCCTGGTGGCGGAAGAAGGGGCGCCGCCGCAAGGGAGTGCTGGCGCTGGCTCTGACCTGGGACAGGCCTGGGGGGGGGGTGGCCCAGGCAGCTCGCCTGGAGGAGCAGGGCTGCCACTGGCAGTGGCGAGAGCCTGGGGGAGCTTGCGGACCTGGAGCCACACGGCTGGGCTCAGCGCCTCCAGCTGCGGCTGCAGGACCCTCCCCAGCACCCGCTCGCCCGAGCCCCTGCCCAGAAGGCCTGGGAGAGGATCGCGGTGCAGCTGGGGAGGGTCTGGGTGGGCCCCCATGTCGGGCCTGGCTCTGCCCCAGCGGCCTGGGGGCCATGTCCCCTCCCAGCCAGCGCCCGGCCGGTAGATGCGCTGTCGGCCCGCAGACCAGCCTCGTGCAGAGCTGACACGTTGCCCTCCCTGCCCCCCGGGGCGGCAGTCCCCAACCCCCATGGGCTCCCAGCAAGCATCCCCCTCCCCAAGAATGCCCTTAGATTCAAAACTAACCTAGAAGCAGAGTGGACACCGCCCCCGGCCTTGGGGGCCACCAGCGTTGCGGAGTTTTGCTGTCTTGGCATCTTGGCAGGTGGGAGGGAGGGGCCGGTCCACCCAGGGTCCCCTCTGCTGCCCCTACCTGCTGGGACAGGGCCTTGTTTCCCTATACCAAAGTCCTGAGCAAGGGGTCACAGCTCAGGGGCGGGGGGGGCAGCTCCCAGCAAACCCGAACCAGTGTCACTGAGTGCTTGGAAGCTTCCAGCAAGGGAGAAGCCTGTGGCTGCCTGTTAATCATTCCCTGGGGCTCGGGACTCTGCCTGGGTGACTCCCAGGCCGCGGGGGTCCGGGCTCTGATGCTGCTGGGAGTGGGGATCGGTGACTTGCGGGGAGGAGCAAGGTTGGGACCTGTGGGGAAGGGGTGAGCTCTGGCTAGGGTCACCCCGTTCTCTGGCTCCTTCCAGGCCGAGGTGGGCCGGATGCTATTAGAGGGGAAACAGCCAGAAGCCAGGGGCCCAGTGGCCTGCAGAGGGACCGGGTCTCCCCAGCGTCTGCTGAGCCCCGGTGGGGTGGACACACGGGCTGCAGCCGTGCATAGTGCGGCCAAGGGGTGATGAGAGTGGCGAGGAAATGCTCCATCAGGTGGAGCGTCAGCTACGCCTCAGGTGGGCTGACACTCCTACCTGCGTGGTTAAAGCCGTGCCCGCCTCACTCGGGGGCATCACCGTCCCTTGCAGGGCCAGGCTCTCGAAGCCAAGGGCAGAGCAGGCCGGGCCGAGCAGCTGGCTCCAGGCCTGGATTCCGAGTCCCTGGGCGTCCTCAGAGTCGGGGGGTGACAGGCCTGAGGTGGAGATTGGGACAGACATGTCCCTTTGGGGACCCTGGTGCAGTGGTTGGTGGAGCGGCAGGAGACTCTAGGGAGGCACAGAGCCCGGGGCACCTGGGCCCGGGTGGGACCACAGGGGGCGCGGGGGCCTCACTGGGCGGCGTCCCTTTAGCAGGGGCTGGGGTCGCCCCTCTGCTCTGCCCCAGGACACCGCAACCCCTGGAACCACATCAGCCCCTCCAGTGGAGACTAATCGGCTGCCAAGGCCCATTCCGGGGTACCAAGATGGCACCTCTGAGGGGAAGAGGCAGCCTCCAGAGGGACACCTGGGCTGAGGCCTGGGGCCGCGTGCAGGGCGGGAAGGGCACAGTGCGGCACAGGGCCTGGGGGTCAGGGCGAGGCCAGTGTATCTGGAAGCGGACGGTGGGCGCATCTGGCGAGCAGAGCTGCAGGCGGGGTGGGCGCGGGACAGGGGGCCAGCAGGGAGCGGGGTGGAGAGGTTAGAGGGCCGGGTCCAGGCGGTTACTGAGCTCATTCACCGAGGGTGATGGGGAGCCACCGAGGGTTGCTGAGGGGAGCGGCTGGACTGGAGCACACTTTTCACACCCCTGGGGTGCTGGGTGGGGCATGGCTGGAAAGGGGAGAGGGCAGGTCAGTGCCCAGTGGCCAGAGAAAGGCAGAGGCCGGGGGAGGGTGAGGGGGGGTGGCGAGCTTGAGGAGGGCTCTGACCAGCAAGCGTGGTCGGGAGCCTCCCTGGGCCGGGGGACCTCTAGAGAGATGTGCCTGGGTCCCGGGGGGGACACACCGAGCGGGGTGGGGGACACTGCCTGGGCCGTCCCTGCTCTGGGCCGTCCAGGCGGTGGACTGGGATTGAGGTTCAGCGGGCTGAGGGCAGAAGGGGGGTTGGTCTGGGACTGAACGTCAGCTAAGGGGAGAGTGGGCAGGAAATCCACGTGTCCATGCCAAGTCCAGCCCTGGCAGCTCCTGCAGATGACCCTGACCACAGCATCAACCAGAAAAGTCAATGCTTAACCCGGGCCGCGGCGGGGACATCAGCCGCCCTGCCAGCCCTTGGTTGGGGCCCTGGTGTTGGCGAGCACCCCGGCCTGCGGGAAGTGCCTGCCCAGAGTCCCCTGCCCGCCGGGGGGATTCAAGTCCATGCTTGAGTGTGGTGGGAGCACTTGGCCGTGGGGGCCCAAAGGAAGCTACCGAAGAGACCTTGGGGTTTGCAGGGCACCCCACTTATCCTGCAACCCCCACATGGCCCCAGGGAAATCTGAGATGCAGCACCCTGCAGTGGCCTCATTGGGGGCTCACAATGGGGCAAGGGGATGGGGCCATCTGGGACTGGGCACGGGGATGGGGTACGGGGATGGAGGACAGTGAGGGGAGCCCCCAATAAGGGCGGGATGGGAAGGCTCCAGCCGCTGTCTTAGGAGCCCAGGTTTAGTGCAAGTAACAGGCAGGAGCTAAGCCGCTCCCGCCGGCCGAGGCCAGTCCCGATGGCCCAGGACGCCGTCCTCGGCCCACCTCCTCCCGTGCCCGCGGGGGCCCAGGGACTGTGCCTCTGGCCTCTCTGGGCCACGGGTGTCCTGGTGCCCTGACCCCCCATCACGCTGTGAGGGGTGTAGACAGGAAGCCAAGCACAGGGAGGGTGCTCGCTGGTCCAGGACTGCACAGCCGGGGCGGGGGGACCTCCAGGAGGGGGCAGAGTCTCCACTCTCAGCTCCAGGGGGGCCAAGAAGCCTCCACGATCAGAGAGAAGACCAGCGCAAGACAAGAGAGGTCAGGGTGCCCAGCCAGGTGGCGTCGGGGGGTCCCGGGGCGGGAAGAGCCTGGTGCAGGGGACCCCGTGGCTCCCAGGGGTCACTCTGAGGACACACACCTCTGGGCAGAGGGACTTGTCGTGCAGGAGGTCACCCAGCTGTGGAGGAGCCGCTAAACTTGGGGGTCCACAGAGATGCATGATGTGGGGATGGGAGGGCCCTCGGGGAGCAGCCCCGGGCCCGGGTCCTGGGCTGAGCGGAGGCCCCTCCGCCCCGCCCTCCCTTCCCAGCTGGCATCAGGTTGTCAGCACAGCTCAGGGGTGCCACCTGGTGGGCAGAGCCACGGCCGCGGCACGGCCCGTCTCGCCGTCCAGGGCTCTGAGCCTGCCCCTCAGCCTCCCTGGCCGTGGAGGTGTGCAGCCCCCCGTTAGTACACATGCTGCCCATAAAGCAGAGACCAGAGAAAGCCTCAAGAGACCGGCCACCCAGAATTTTGCAGCCAGCGGGAGCCTCTCCCTTCGCTCCACGAGTTTAGTTTTAATCCCCGAAGTGAGCCATGCCCCGCGGAGCCCTGCCCCCTGGGGGGTGTCCCACGAATGTGCCAGCCTGCACCTGGGCGTTGACAGCAGAGCCCGGGCAACCATGCGCCCTGGGGTGTCCCTGGACCTAGGGGCACAGTCAGCGCGGCAGGGAATCTTGGTTCTGGCTCTGCTCCCTGAGGGAGGCTGCACCGCCCGGGCCCTGGGTCCCACTGGCAGGGGGTCTGGCTTGACAAGTGCATATGCGGGGCTCGAGGCCATGGTGCCAGGGCAGGACCCCTGGACCCCCAGGGCCAGGTGGGGATCCTGAGGGTGCTCAGTGCTCACCCACAGCCCTTGGAGCCCAGGGACCCCAGCAGCCCGTTGGATCCACGGGACGGACGCGTGTCAGGCCAGCAGGGCCTGCACCTGGTCTTGGGCTTCCTCCAGCCCCTCCCGAGAGGCGCAGGGCTGGTGAGGGCCTCGTGTGGCCCTTGTGCAGCCTCCCTGGGCAGGGCATGCATGGGACCAGCCCCCGCTCGTGGCCCTGGCTCCTGTCCAGGGATGAGCCCTGGGGCTGTGGTCACTGTGGGGTCCCAGTGGCGGGACTGGGGCTGACCCGGAACCACAGGCCTCTTTCCCTCCCCTGCTGAAGGGCCAGTCACTCTGGGGGTGGGAGGGGGCCGAGTCACAGGCTGGGGTCGTGACACCAACAGGCCCACTTTGCTGTCAGTGAGGCCGTGGCTGGGGAGGGGGTGGCCAGAGGCCCCGTGACGACAGCCAGGCATCTGCTAGTGGGCAGAGCGTGCCGGCGCCACTTGAGGCCTCTGCACAGACCGGCTTTGCAGATGGGGAAACTGAGGCCAAGGTGCTTCCAAGCCCATCAGCTGGTAAGCAGCTGAGCTCTGACAGGGCCTAACCTGCGTGCCCCTCAGAAGTGTTGTTTGGGGGGCACACCCCTCCAGGCCAGGTGGGGGGAGGCATCACTGTGCAGTCCCCCCAGGGGTGTGTGTGCATTGGGCTGGGGGGCGAGGTCCTCAGTCTTGTCCTAGCCAGAGGGTGAAGGGGCAGCAGTCTGGCCCTGATTCCTTCTTATTTGAGCTGACCATGGGGTGAAACTCGGGGCCACATAGGAATCAGAGGAGGAAGCAAGGCCTGGGTACAAGAAGGAGAGACGGGTACCCCTGAGACGCAGGCAGCTCGGGGTGCAGGTTGGGGGCACGGAGCTCACAGCACAGTCGCACGTGCCCACATGCCGCCTCTGATTTCATCCTGAGGGGCGCGAGCAAGGATTGTCCCACTTCACCCACGTGGAGACCAAGGCCTGGACAGACCGGGGTCAGGAAGGCCTCTCGATGGACGCCGTGCAGGGGCTGAGCGAGTCCGAGTGGGGCCCTGGGAACGGCAGGTACTAGTGCGTTTCAGGGTTCCGACTCTGCGGGTGAGGCCCCTGGGGTTCCCGGGGGGCGTCTGGGGTCCCAGAGCAAGGAGGACAAGGTCTCCGTGAGGGAGGAAGTCTCCAGTGGGACCCTGGGGGAGGGCAGTGTGGGAACTTACGCTGGGCTGTGTGGACAGTTTGGGGCTTGGGGCAGGTTGAGTGTCTGGCCACTGTGGAAGGAGGGGGTGGGAAGGGTCACGGCCCCCTCCCTACCCTGGGAGGGCACCCCGGCTGGCACCGGCTCAACCTGACAGGGATGCAGCCGGCAGTGGCCAGGCAGCCTGTGGCCGGCAGAGGGCGCTCGGCCCAAGGCTATGAGAGGCCTGGAGCCGCCGCTGGCCGGGAGGAAGAGGCTGGGACAGCTGGTTGCGGCCCCTCTCTTCAGGCAAACTCTTGCCACAGAGAGCAGGAAGGTGCTGGCTGGGGCAGTGCCGTCCAGCGGTGCCCGTGGGGGCAGGGCAGCTTTCACGATACCCAGAGGCTGGGGTTCCTCTGTGGGATGGTCCTGATGAGGACATTTGTTAGATGCTCCTGGGGCTGTGATCTTGGAGCCGAGCTCCCTGGGGTGGGCGTCCTTATTTCGGCCCATTTTACAGAGGAGGAAGCTGAGCCTTGGAGGTTACACTCAGGGGACCCCAAGGGTCATGAAGCCAGCACCCCCCCGCCATGATTTTCATAACATCATCACCCAGCTCTGCAGGCTTTCTCAGCTGGGCACCGTGGACATTTGGGGCTGGCTGATTCTTTATTGGGGGGCTGCAGGATGTGGGAAGCTGAAGGGGACCAGTGCCAATCGTGCTGATGTCCTGATCCCCAGAGGCTGGGGTGAAACAGGCCTTGCAGATACGGTGGGGGATCTTGAGATGGGAGATGGCCTTGGACTGTCAGAGCAGCCTGGATGTCATCACAAGGGCCTTCTGGTGGGGAGCATGGAAGGAGGGGGAGGGAATAAAGAGGGGGCAGGAAGAGAAAGGGGAGGGACAGGTGCTCACTGCTCCACTTATGGATGGGGGGTGCCCAGCAGAGGGTGTGGGCAGCAGGGAGCTGTGGAAGGTTCTCCCTGCAGCCTCCCAAGGACAAGCTTCTGCACCCCTGGGCTTTAGCCCTGTGAGGCCCAGCAGGAGCCCCGACCTCCAGAATGCAGGAGTGTGTGCTTGTGGTGTAGACTGGCAGTCTGTGACGGCAGTGTCCCACCCCACCCCACGCCAATTCTAGCTGCCCCTGACTCACACCTGGCCTAGGGGGAGGGTCGAGAGGTGGACACCATGGCCCAGGGGGAGCCCCTGAAGAGGT